GAATAGACGCACCTAAGAAAAAAGCCCTGCCGTAGAGACCAGGCTCAAATTACTTAAAACAAAATGAAGCGGCTGCGTAAATTCACTACATCCCAACAATTACAAAACCAACAGTGTCCTAGCAAAATAATAAAAAAATTGAAAATGACGAGACGCCGTTCATTTATGATTTAAAAGGAAGATCTACATAAATTTCGTTATATGTTGAAGGCACAAACTGAAGGTTTGCTTGTAAGTGAATCTGTGATAAATTTAATAAAATGACATATCTGGATGAACCTGCATTTGCGGTTACGGCAATCAGAAGTAAATTATTGGAATGGGGGATTACTAGGATGAGCGTTCTCTGACTAGGCTGGTTCCTTAATTCCGCTAATTCACAAATAAAATAGAGGATTGTCCGCGACAAATGACAGACGGAAAAAGAATCATTCATGTGACTCTGAACTGCTACTTTGCCCAATATGAGGATCTGTTTGAATATTCCCTCGTCCTTGTAGAAAGACCAACATAATTGACCATATGTTGAATATGATGGAAAAGTACTCGTCAGATTTGGAATCTCAAGTGAGAGAGCGGACGCTGGAACTTGAGGAGGAGAAAGCAAAAACAGAAGAACTAATCGCAAAAATGCTGCCACTGTGAGTTTACTAGAAGCCACTTTTGAAACACCAAAGGCTAATTTTCCGTCGAAAGATGGAAATATTTAGACTTATTCATGCCTTAATGAACTCTTATCCTGTATTTACTGTGCACTGATGATAAAGTCATGATGACGCGAATAGGATCAGGCGGCAGATATCCAGCGATGAAGGTGGTTACGAAGCAACAAGGTCTTGGCACTTAGGAAACTTAAAAACGCACATGAAGGAAGTTTCAAATACTTTCATCTACCATCGATTTCAGTGGTCAGAACATGAATACAAAAGTTGTGAAGAAGATATTGCTTTTGGCCTGGCTCTTCAAGCTGGACAGAATAAATGAGCCTTTCTGCAAGAAAAAATGACAATTAAATGTCTCGTCCTAGAGGCCATAGAAAACTGCCAATGACATTATTAGATTTTGAACGACTCTGGTTAAATTAAGTAGGCGTCAAAAACCTCATAACGATGTCTAACTCGCCATATTTAATGAACAAACCCCCGCAGTTCAGCGATCGTGTGTTAAACTTTAAAAGGTGTCGATCTAGTTTATTCTCGAATACGAGCAACTGCATTTGTAGATTTAAGTAATACGTACACAATTATGTAGAACCGAGAGATTGTCGAATTTCATAGCAGTAGAACATCATACTTCGTTAAGCTATACTGCCAATATGCGGAACATCAAATATTACTTAATTTAAAATAACGTGGTGGGATAGTTAGGCAAAGCAGCAGAAACTATACCGTAATTTGTGAACATAATCAAAGTCCCCGTACTACCGGGTACTATCGGGTAACAATTTGGTCACGGGGTATCTCATTATCCCCGTTTTTCCTTTTGCAAACATTTAAAATAGACCTTATTTGCTATGCCACAGATCTGTTGCACAGGCGCTGATAGCTGGCAACACTGTGGCCCCAGAAGCCTTTGACGAGGTCACAATCTACTTCAGTGACATCGTTGGCTTCACAGCTATTTCAGCCTGGTCTACACCTCTGCAAATCGTTGATCTACTCAATGCCCTCTATTCCACCTTCGACTCAACAATTGCAAAGTTCGACGTCTACAAGGTACCTTGAACGCAATCTAGCATAGACAACAGACTAGTTTCTTCTTTGTGCAAGTAGAAATATGTTTGCTGATTTCAGTACTCCACAATTTTCAAAAGCCCTTTCAAAAGTCCCTTCATTGAGGGTAGTTGATTACGTTAGAAGTCCTTAGAAATTATATAAAAAGGGAGAAAATAGACCGACTAGCGAAAAGTATTTCAAAGAGATAGCTCCCCAATACCACATTTCCTTTCTCATCTACGAATTGATGTTTCGGTACCTTTCTTGCATTTCAGGTCGAAACCATAGGTGATGCGTACATGGTGGCCTCGGGACTACCAATCCGAAACGACAGACGGCACGCTGGTGAAATTGCCACAATGGCTCTGGAACTACTCAGTGTGGTTGGAACATTTGTCATTCCACACATGCCACAGATTCCCATTTTGCTCCGCATTGGAATACACTCTGGTAACTGGCACTGCGCTTAGTACTCTATTATACTTTGCGACACCACATACTCGAACTACAGATAGACATACGTTTAGATGACCCAAAACAGTCTTGGAAATTGTTAACATTCAGATGTCATTTGTAGCAAGGTTTTGGTGTGAAGGTCCTGGACACTAAACGGTGTATATCTCAAAAGTATAACCATGAGCCCCTTTGAAATCGTCGATTATTTTTACAAGATGAGCCCTAATAAAAAGCAGGAAGTCGTATTTCTGATACGCTAAATCAGTGATACAAAGGCCGACTGTTAGGAAATATGGTGTGTTATGCAAATATACCAATTCAGTAACTAGTTTTTTCTTGACAGTTTCCATCCGGTTATTACATATTTGTTTACAAGCAGGACACAATCAAACATTTAATCTCGCGCTTCGATTTCAGTTTGCGAATTTGCATCTAACGGGTTCTGAAAAAGACATTCATACAATGATGTGAAAAAACTTTTCTAATTCCCGAATACTTTTGAACCCGACCTGCTGTTTCACTTGCATTCAGGGTTTCAAAACTACAAGCTGTACATTTTCCGTATACGGAAAACCATGCATTTCTCTACGGTGTTAAGAGGAGATCATATGAGGTTCATAAAATTAAGCAATGGATATGAGCAATATTGTAAACTTTACAAGCTACATTCGTAAATGCAGATACATGACGTTTCATGAACGGCCATTTAACGATATTAAAAATCTCACAATTAGAAACTTATTTAAAACCGAATTATACTCTTCTTTTGAGTATAGAATTGAAATAGGGCGTGATTTTCTACCGAATAAGTACAAGAATGAATATTTTTTTGCATGTTTTCCATGAAATATAATTGCATTTTCAAGGGCCTCGAAAATCAATAGGAAAATGGCATACTAATTAAGTAGTCATTTTTT